CAAGTGGGCTTGATTAGTTAGCAATTTGGAATTGGCCCATTAAAGTAGGTTAAGTCAATTGAGTCATTTGTATTGATCTATGACCCATATTTGGTAACAGGCTTAGGTTATTTGGCTAACCGGCCATAATTCAAAGTGAGCTAGATTGATGATACGCCCAAATTACAGCTTAAACCCATTATGTGAATTTTTCAGTCTCGATATTTTGGGTAATTATGTATTGTTGGTATTGGAATATATAGTCTCAAGATATATATGTATATTGAATCTGGACCAAATGGTTTTTAACAAAAATATTTTAATATTTATTTATTTATTAAATATATATTATTTTTTAAAAATAAATTTTATGTGATTAACCCGAATAAATCAAGAAGTCACACTTACGGACTAAGATTCTCTGCTGTAAACGGGTCGTGTTGTACTCATGCTGTAGTGAAAGAAAGGATTTTTTTTAAATTGATAACTTTAAAGTCCAACCGAAAAATGAATGATGTTAAATATATATATATATATATATATAGAAAGAAAAAAAGGAAAATAAAATGTCCTCTTTTGCTTCAGCGCCTTCCTACCAAAACAAAAAGAAAAAGAAAAAGAAAAAAAAGGAAAAAAAAAAAAAAGCTCTTCTGCTTCAGTACCTCCCTCCTTCATCATTGTCCCGTACGCCATCTCCCTTTCTCGTCACGATGTACCTTAAAATAGCATAGTTGTACTGGGTTTCTCAGGCATCACCTAAAAAATAAAATAGGAAGAAAAAAGAGAAAATAAAATATTTTCAAACACTTTTTTTTTTTTTTTTTTTTTCTCAACACCTTTAATATTTTTTTTAAGTTATTTAATTTTGTTCTCAACACTTTTTATTAACACTTTTTAATCTTATTCTCAACACTTTTAATCTTGTTCTCAATACTTTTTAATTTTTTTCTCAATACCTTAAATTTTATCCTCAACAATTTTTAATCTTTCTTCTCAACACATTTAATGTTGTTATCAACACTTTTTAATCTTGTTCTCAACACTTTTTAATCTTGTTCTCAATACCTTTAATCTTGTTTTCAACACTTTTTAATCTTGTTTTCAACACCATTTAATCTTGTTTTCAACACCTTTAATCTCTAACTTAACACCTTTTAATCATTACATCAATACCTTTTAATTTTTATGTCAACACGTTTAATCTTTACCTCAATACCTTTTAATTTTTATGTCAACACGTTTAATCTTTACCTCAATACCTTTTAATTTTTACCTCACTACCTTTCAACATTTTTTAATCTTTTTTCTCAATACCTTTAATCTTATTCTAAACACCTTTAATCTTGTTCTCAACACTTTTTAATCTTTTTTCTCAACACCTTTAATCTTATTATAAACCTCTTTAATCTTGTTCTCAACACCATTTAATCTTGTTTTCACCACCTTAATCTCTAACTCAACACATTTTAATCATTACCTCAATATCTTTTAATCTTTATCTCAACATTTTTAATCTTTATCTCAATACCTTTCAACACTTTTTAATCTTTTTTCTCAACCCCTTTAATTTTGCTCTCAATACTTTTTAATCTTTTTTTTCAACACCTTCAATCTTGTTATTAACACCTTTTTTCATTTTTTCTCAACACCTTTAATCCTATTCTCAATCTCTTTAATCTTGTTCTCAATACTTTTTTTTATCTTATTCTCAACACCTTTAATCTTATTTTCAACACTTTTTAATCTTTTTTTTCAATACCTTTAATCTTGTTTCTCAACATTTTTTAATCTTTTTTCTCAATATCTTTAATCTTGTTTTCAACACCATTTAATTTTGTTTTCAACACCTTTAATCTGTAACTCAACACCTTTTAATCATCACCTCAATACATTTTAATCTTTATCTCAACACTTTTAATCGTTATCTTAATACATTTAATCTGGTTCTCAACACCATTTAATCTTATTCTCAACATTATTTAATCTTACTATCAACATCTTTAATTTTTTTCTCAACCCCTTCAACACTTTTTTTTTAAATTTTTTTTCTCAACACATTTTAATCTTGTTATCAACACCTTTAATCTTTTTTCTTAACACCTTTTAATCTTATTGTCAACATATTTAATCTTATTTTCAACATTTTTTAATCTTATTCTCAACACTATTTAATTTTATTTTCAATACCTTTAATCTCTAACTTAACACATTTTTATCATTACCTCAATACCTTTTAATCTTAGTCTCAACACTTTTGAAAACAAGATTAAAAAATGTTGAGAATAAGATTAAATGTATTGATAACAACATTAAATGTATTGAGAAAAAGATTCAAAATTGTTGAGGACAAGATTTAAGGTGTTAAGAAAAAGATTAAAAAGTATTGATAAAAAGATTAAAAAGTGTTGAGAGTAAAATTAAATAAGTTGAGAAAAACATTAAAGGTGTTGAAAAAAAAAAGTGTTGAGAATATTTTTTTTTCCTTTCTTTAATTTTTTTTTTCTATTTTTTTTTTAGGTAATGCCTGAACAACCCAGTACAACTATGCTATTTTGAGGTACACCATGACGAGAGAGGGAGATGGCGTACGGGACGGTTATGAGGGAGGGAGACGCTGAAGTAGAAGATGATATTTTGTTTTTTTTTTTAATAGGGAGGCGCTGAAGCAGAAGATGATATTTTATTTTTATTTTTTAATTTTTTTTAACGTCGTTCTTTTTTTTCTGTCGGACTCTACTCGCTTATAGCAGAGGATCTTAGTCCCACACTTAAAAGGAGAAATTCTCTCTTTTTCTTTTCTGTTTTTTTTCCTAAGCGGAAGGATCAACCTTACCTAAAACAAATAATTATGACAGTAGAAGATATTAATTCAAACCTGAAATTGTAATTGTTTTAGACCTATTGGAGAGAAAATATGGTCACGTATGAAAATAGTTGACAAAATCAAGCACCCCTTGAAGAGGGGCATTTTACCTACAATAATATCCTTCCAAATCACGGATTGTTCATGTCACACGATGTTGATTGGAAAGTTGGTTATGTGCATTAACCATCCTCACAACTACAACCGCTTCATCAAACAAGAGGTGGTCGTAGTCCAATAGGTGAGACTATCCCAAGTGCGGTGGTCTGTTTTTTCTAGGACGTCTCTACCTCTTTATAGTCTGTTTTGGTATGAGAAAGTACAAAAGAAAATAGTAAGACAGATTTCTTAAAATCACCTCTTGTTTTTTTGTTCTAAACTAAATATTTTTTCCGTTCTTTTTATTAATATAATAATCTAATAATATTTTTTCACAAAAAACATTTAATTAATTGACTTACCGTTAGTCAAAGTCGAGATTATGGGTCCAGAAAAAGTTTGAACGCCCTTTAACAAAAGGCAGGGACGGAACCAGTTTGATTCAGGGGGCACGTGTCCCCCTAGTCCATTAAATTTATTATATGTATTAGTATAATATTTGAAAAAAAATTACTTTATGCCCTCTCTGAAATTTATTTTCTTTCAAAAACAACCTTGGAAATGAATTTTTTTTATACATATAAGTATATAATTTATGAAGTATTACTTTGTGTCCCCTGAACCTAAATCCTAATTCCATCCATGATAAAATAGTACGTATGTCAATTAGTTTGTCGGTAACGGGCATTTGAACATGATAAATTTCAACTCCATCTCCTGTAGCTTGATTCTCTTGAGCCAAATGGTCGGCTAAAGCATGGCCTTTAGCAGTTTAACAACTGACTTCAAAGTAAAAAGTGTAGGGTTCAAGTCCTTGTGAAATAAAAATAAATGGTCGGTGTCCCAAAAAAAAAAAAAAAAAAAACTCTTTTCTCTTCTTTTATTTTTTATTTCTATCAAATAAGAAAAAAGAAAATTATAGCAATATACCCTTTTTTTTTTTTTTGTCCTGTTCCTTTTCTTTAATTATTTTGTTTACTTATATTTTTTTGTCGCTTTCATTCTCATCTAAGTAAAAGAAAATAAATACCATTCAAAAGAGTTTCATTTTCAAGAAACATAATAATCAACAACCATTTTCATATTTAAGGGACAAAGGATCAACTTCGTATTTCACAATGAGACCTTGAGTCTCGTTTTCTCCCATGAAGTCTATCCTAGAAAAATCCCATTGCCCTTTTGGACCCTTGTGCGCAACTTCTTTCATCTCACATTTTAAATTTCTAAATTGATGCTGTTTTCATTACTAAATTCAAATTGCCTATTTTTTAACAATAAACTTTTAGTAACGGTGACAAATTTTGTGATGTTCTCATCAAAGAACTATATATATAATAGTATATAAATATATGTTTTAATTTTTTTTTTTTTTCAATGCCTCTTTTTAGTAAAAGGAGCATCTCCCCATCCACCATATTATTTGCAATTAAAGATTTTATTTAAAAAAATAATTCTTGTATCAAATATTTGTAATGAATTGTTAGACCTACTCTTTTAATTAGTTAATTATGTAATAAATAAGAAAGTAAATATCTCCACTTAGTTCGGTTAGGCAATTTAGTGCAAGTATTCGGTGTGACTGAAAATTTTACCGTATTCACATTCCCTTAATGCTAAATTCACCAAATTTACTTACCAAAAATAAAAAAAATATGCACTCTAGCGATCTTGCCTTCAACTTATAAATAAAGAATCAAGTATTACCATTTTTTTTTTTTTTTTTTTGTCATTTATGTTAAAAATAAATTAACCAAAAAAAGAAAAAAGAAAAAGAAAATTAGTGTATTTATGAGAAAGAGAAATTACCACAGCTGTAGTCAAATGACGCTTCCTCCCATTTCAAAGGGAAACTCGACGGTTGCAAAAAAAAAATCTAATGACATCTATCTTTTTTATATATATTATTAACAGATAATAAATAATCACTTGGATTCCATTTTCTTTTCTTTCTTTTTTTCAAGAAAAAATCCCAATTAGATTGTCCATTTATTATTTTTTTGTTTTTCGGAATTAACTCGATTATATATATGTGTGAATATATATATAATCAAGTAAAAAAATGAAGTTTTAGCAAAAAAACAAAATAGCAAAAAAGCAAAAAAGCAAAAAGAAAAAACTAAGAAATTAAATAAAGTCGAAACTAAGATGCCATTTATTTTTTTTGGAAAACTAAGATGCCATTGCAGTGAGGACAAAAATGGTAAATGACATATAATTTGATTTCCTTGCCAACTTCGACCACCCTCCAAGATTACATCCACCTCTCCACTTCCTACTTTTTCCTTTTCTCTCGTTTTTTTTCCATTTTTTCTTCTTCTTCCTCTTCCGGTAAAATACTTTTCTTCGTTTCCTCTTCTCATTAATCTCTCTCTTAAGCTGTCTCTTTCACCTCTGCTCTCTCTGTTTCTCTGAAATGGCTGAAAAACCCACTTCAGGTTCGTCTTTTTTTTCGCTTTCTTTTTTCTACTTCTGTAATTGCTTTTTATGTGGGTATATATATAATCTTTATATTGACTCAGAAATTTCGCTCTATGAGCTTATGAAATCATTTTAATGGATAAAAAAGAAATCTTTGTATTGGTTCAGAAATCTTGTTTTCTGAGCATATGAAAGTTCGGTTTTAAGTTTTTGATAATGGGTTTTTTTTGGTTTTCAACTAATTTTTCTTCTTTGAGGTAATATTTGTATGTTTTATAGATCTATAATGGAATTATAGATCTTCCCTCTCTGACCCATGATTTTTTTTTATTGGATGCACTTTTTGTGTGTATTTTTCGTGTAGATTACTATCGACCTTGATGTGTGACTCTGTTTGTTTGGTTCTCACATTTTTAACATGGGTCTTTGTGCTATTTGTATATGATCCAATAAGCAACCTATATTCCGATAGTATTAGAAAATTAGCACAATCACATTTCTTGTATGAGTTCATATTATAATATTGCAGATTCTTTAGGACACACAACCTTGGAACCTGATTTGGGAATAGTAGTCTGGAGGGACTATAAATATAGGTTAACTAAGTTTAATAAGGGATTGAATCACTGTATAGATGGGATTGTGGTTTTTAAAGCAGAGGACCCCCAAAAGGTTTTACTCTTGTTATCCAAAAGATGGGAATTTTAAAGTGGAGAAAAAAAGATTAGTTCCAAAAAATTGGTTCTTACTTGGTGAGACATTCCAAACAATTACTATGTAATTTAGTTCAGTATGTGCAATCCAAGCCGGACAAACTACTATATTGTATAGATTACATATTAGAAGGCTCAGTATGTCTTCTTTTTCATTGATCAATGGTGTACTCATAATTTGACTGCAGTTGTTATTGATTCTAAAGCAATTGCGTTTGTGCAGGTGATTCTAAAGATCTGCCTTCGAATTCAAATGGAGTGTTACAGGGGAATAGTTCAGTAGTTGTTTGCTTTGGGGAAATGTTGGTTGACTTTGTGCCAACAGTTGGTGGAGTTACGCTTGCGGAAGCCCCTGCCTTCAAAAAAGCACCAGGCGGTGCTCCTGCTAATGTGGCTGTTTGTATAGCAAGACTCGGAGGTTCTTCAGCTTTTATTGGGAAGGTGCCTTTTGAACATCTTTCTTCATACTCATTTTGTGTCATAGACTTGAGGAATTTTCATTCTATATTTATATTTGTATTGCTCCATCTATAGGAGTTGGCTCATAGTCCCAACAAATGACATATTAGCAATGTTTTTCATGATCTACTATTAGAATCTTCTCTTTTGAACTTGATCGTTGTTTATGCTTCATGAGCTCAAGTGCAGATTCCAGATAGAGGTCATGATTTATATTAGTTTCATCAAATTCCAAAATCTTAGAATACAGGAACAACTTTATGGTCTGTTTGTCTCTTTCTTCTTGCATACCTGATGATGAAGTCAAGCTTTTATTTAAACTATCAGCTCAGCAGGGACTTGAAGTTATAGCATCCATGTTACATATAGATTAAGGAAGTTTTAGAAGTGATTTCTAGTGAAATATGATTTTTCTCCGCTTGTCCTTCTGGTAAATGGGTTTGTTGGGTATGTTCCATGTTGTAACATGTTTGATATGGTTACTTCACTCGTGTCAAATAAACCAGCACGAATGGTAGTGATTTAACTATAAGAGAAAATTCTAATGATCTCGATATAACTAAAAAATACAAGCATTTGTGGGCTCAATGCGAAAATTGTTGTAGATTAAATTATAAGATTGAACACCTTGAAAAATAATTTATGGAGCTTCATGGAACCGACTGGCAATTTGCAACCACAACATAATGCTAGAATTTCTCGTAAACATACATTATTCACCATTGCTACATGTTTTGGCTCATCAAGTTACCTTGAAAGCAATATCTTTTATGTCTGTTTCATAGATCAATAACTCTATGTTATAGTCAACTGTCATGCTTTTCATTCAAGTGTCTCAATGAAATCTGAAATTCCTAGTTAATCTGCATTTAGCAGGCAATTACTTTGTCATAGTTGGTTTGCTCTAATTTGAATGTACTTCAAGTTCTGAATTCGACCCATTTCATATTAGGTAGGCGAGGATGATTTTGGGTATATGTTGGCTGACATTTTGAAACAAAACAAAGTCAACAGTTCTGGCATACGTTTTGACCCCAGTGCAAGGACTGCGCTGGCATTTGTTACACTCAGAGCAGATGGCGAGCGTGAATTTATGTTTTTCCGTAATCCTAGTGCTGATATGCTTCTTCGTGAAGCAGAACTTGATCTAGACCTGATTAAGCAGGTTGGCTTTCCTTTTTCTTTCTTTGATCAAGAATATAGCACAAAAGCTATTGATTCTAGAATGGTGATTTGTTTAGAAGTTTTACATATCCAATGCAGGCAAGGATTTTCCACTATGGTTCCATTAGCTTGATTGAAGAACCATGTAGGTCAACACATCTGGCTGCAATGGCCATTGCCAAAAAGTCCGGTGTCATCCTCTCTTATGATCCAAATTTGAGATTGCCACTATGGCCATCAGCTGATGCAGCTCGGAGTGGCATAATGAGCATATGGGACCAAGCAGATATTATTAAGGTACTATTTTTTAAATTATGAGATTCATGAAATAATCGTAGTTATTATTAAGGTACTATTTTTTAAATAATGAGATTCATGTAATAATCTTAAGTATTTGCTCCTAAGGCTAGTATAATAGCCTTATGATTGTGTCTATGACTCAAATAGAAATACCATGTTACATAACTCACTGGCGTTCTTCGATGAACTGGCAGATTAGTGAAGAAGAAATATCATTCTTGACCGGAGGTGATGATCCTTATGATGATAATGTGGTATTAAAGAAACTTTTTCATCCCAACCTTAAGCTTTTGCTAGTAACTGAAGGGTCTGAGGGTTGCAGATATTACACCAAGGTAAGTTTTATCTACTTTATTCATAATACCGATCGCAATAGAAATAACCTTAATTTTATGCATTTCATTTTTTCCCTTATAAAAGGGGTCAAAGCCCTCGGTGTGTTGAATTTTAGTAGGCCATGTGGTGGACTTGAAATTTTCCTGGTTCTCTTCAATACATAATTTCGTTGATTTTCATAACTAGGAACCCAACAAACTGAACATTCTGACTTACAAAGAATCGTCTTAAGCTGCTGGTGACATACAATTGCTGAATAGTGACCATGTGCATGATATTTAATAACTATGTGAAACCTATACTGATATTTAGTTTGCTTAAGCTGAGTAAATATGATTATGTAGTTTGATTTATTTTTCCATTTCACATCCAATTTTTTCAGTCATTGACATTTACCAACATTTCGTGCAGCAATTTAAAGGTAGAGTTCCTGGTGTTAAAGTTAGAGCTGTTGATACAACTGGGGCAGGTGATGCATTTGTGGGTGGAATACTGAAGAGTTTAGCTTCTGACATAAATCTTTATCAGGTATATCTTTGCAGTGATTCATTTGGTTATGTCTTGACTTGAAAATTGGTTCATCATTGTTTCCTCTGTGATATAAACTAATGTAATTGCTTTTGCTATGTGGTTCACTTTGTGTGCTCCTATCAATAATAATAATAATAATAATAATAAATATATATATATATATATATATATATATATATTTAGGAGCTGGGAAAGGATAAATATACTAATCCATTGTATTTTTTTCCTAGTTGCAAATGTTGATAATATATATATCCATTGTAATTTCACCTGAGGTGGATTAAGTTGGAAATATTAATTCTAAGCTACACTGATGGTTACACAAGTACAAAATAAATGAGAAATTCACGTGATTATCATTCATATATACTGCCCACATATGTCAGTCACCTGGCATTTCATAAAAGAGCAAGTCTACTATGATGGTGCTCTAATTGAGCTTATGCCCTGATAGCCCTTTTATTTGTGAGGTTGTAACATCAACCTTTCCATCCAACCACACTGATCGGGTGAGCTCCACGAGAGCACCCTCATAATAGTTTTTCCCATTAAAAAATAACAAATTTGCTTTCAGCACCTTTATCTCCGAGAAAAGCCTAATTAAGTAATTAGTCAGCTCAAAATTTTCATTTCTAGAATCAAGAATGTGATTTTTTTGCAAATTAATGTTATAATTTATCAACACGTTTTCTAGATAACTAGATATGTATGAATTGAGTAAGAAGATGATTTATTTATTTATTTTTTATGTTTTTTGTGTGATAGAAACTTGTACTTACCATTGTTGATCTCCTCTTAGAGTCAAGCATGTCTTGTAGATGCAAATTATGAAGCAAGAGCCTGTTTCTTGTTTTACCAGGATAACTTGGATTTCATGGAATGTTGAATTTCCCCTGTGATGGGTGGGAATATGAAAATATTGCCTTGTCATTTCCCTTTAGGACATTCCTCTGAGGAGGATAGTGAATTTAGCTATTGTCCTCCATCTTAAATGCTAGTTTGAATGAAATACTTACCATCTTATTTTTATCTCAGTTTTAGGACCCTGTGGATTTTTTTGAATTTTATGAAATACCCAAGCATGTCATTATAGTGTCTGAAAGGCTGAGACCCTCGTAACAGCATATAGGACATTGCAGCGTATTTGGTTGTGGGTAAAATATGGAGTAAAGGAAAGGGAAGGGGAAAGGAGGAGTGCTCCCCACTGTATGGTACAAGTGAGAGGCAAATGAGGGAGAAGCTCTCTCTCTTCTCCATGCACTTTTTGTTCTACCCAAAAGTGGGCAGATAATGGGAGGAAAACATCTTCTCCATACACTTTTTTGTTTCACCCAAAAGTGGGCAGATATGGGAGGAAAACATCTTCTCCTCCCCACCTCTATTGACCTTTTCTTTTACTATTTCCTAGTTCCTAGTTTTTCTCGTTTCTTCCCTACTCAATCAAATAACACAAGGGAAATGCTCCTTTCGTTATTTGAAGTGTATCTCTTTTATACCTCCTGCCTTTTCTTCCATCCAATTTTCCATCATTTAAAATGAAGTTTATCCCAGAAACAATAATAGGGAGGGTCAGAAACAAAAGAATAAATTTTACCCATCGAATCATCGATGCATTATTAATACCTTCTGAACATTTGGTCTACCATTCGCTATTTAACCAACCGCTCAATGGGATTTTGGGTGACAAAAGTAACTGCAGTTTTGCATTTGAGATGGTATTGCTCACTTATCAACAGATTTAATTCCACCTGTTGTGCAAATCATTTAGTGCATGGTCAATCAAATCCATATATTGATTATGATTTTTTTTGGCAGGATGAGAAGCAGTTAAGAGAAGCTCTTCTTTTTGCAAATGCTTGTGGCGCGCTCACTGTAACAGAGAAAGGAGCAATACCAGCTCTACCGACGAAAGAGGCAGTCTTTCAAGTCTTAACAGAAGTAACTGCATGAAGGGAAAAAATGTCACAACTCTCTCTCTCTCTCTGTGCGCCCGCGCACATGTGTCAGGCTAATGTAATCTGGATTCCCTTGCGTGGGGTAATAATGAGCTGTTTGCTACTTTGTAATTTTCTACGCGGTATATGACTCTCCATTTCATTATTGACAAACATATTCTCCAAGCCCCCATTCTTCATGGCTTATGAGAATTAGTTGTAGTTGCACATAGAAAAAATGTATTGGTTTTTAGATAGAAATAGGAATTTGGTTCATTATGCTATGATTCCTTATGTGCTTGTCAGTTTACATGGATATATGGCTCTAGAAGGACCGAAAATTAGCTTGAAGAAGTAGTTGTGCATTATATTTCAATGAAGCCTCATAATTTTAGGAAAGAACTCACCATCAGCTTGATCTCAAATCAGGTCCAAAAATATCTACAGTTTCATGCTCATATTGCAAAAGTACCAAGTAGTTGTTTCCCTTGTTTCTAGGATCCCATGCTTGCCCCCCATTTTAGGGAAATAGTTTTTCTTTCTTTCTTTCTTTCTTTCTTTCTTCCGTCTCTAAATCCTAGTTAATCAAAATTCAAATCAAACTATTTCTTGCTCGAAATCAGTAATTGAAGAGCAATTTAAAAGAACTGTAACTTCCCTTCTGGCCTGCTTATGATTAGAAACCTTAATCTTAGGAGCATACTCACACCAGCATATCCGTAGAAACCTTCCTCAAATTCAGGATAGAAACATCTTCTCCGGTCACTCTGAAACAATGGCATTTGCCGCTACTACATTGCAATCCTCAGGAAGCCAGAAAAAAGTATCAGTACCCTCTTTATTCACCTTTCTTTGGATACATCTTTTGGCTTTCATCCATGATCCATATTGATTACCCCCTATCAATCCATTCTGTTGAGCTCACTCCTCGTTGCAGTGTTTTGAGGATATGCCCAATGCAGCCACACACTACCTTTTTATAGCATGAGAAGCTTCCTGCAGTTTTCAAATATACCACCTCATAGGTGATACATTCCAAGTCTATGTTAAACAGCTGAACCCAAAACTCGTAGTTACAAAAAGTTTGATGGTCAAAGTTCATGTTATGTGTCAGCAAGGGACTAAGACCAACAATTCACTGTTAGAACTCCATGGTCTGGAATCCAAAACTCTCTTCATAACACTTTCATCTTCAAAAGGTGAACTGAAAGATGCCCTCTTTAGTTTTCACTATTTTAAAAGTAATTGGGTACCTATTATGTTGCCAATCCCAACATCATTGATCAATGATCACCCTATCTGTGATTACCTTCCCAACCAGATTCTTAGAACACCATTGAACACCTTCCTTCATGTGACTTTCAATGATTTCAATTGGTTGAATTTCAGAATTCATTAGAGATTTTTTCGATTTAATTAAGTAGAAGTTTGCAATTTATTCATCAATAAGCTAAAGAACCACCAAAACAATTGCACTAATGGGGGAATATAACTTCCCACTACTACTCACAGAATCAGAGCTCAAGGGCTGGCTTCTTGGTTTTCTATTTTTCATAGTGCAAAAACCCTGTATGGTTTAGTGTTTGAAGTCTCATAATATAGTATGACCCTGGTTTGAGACAATGAAAACAGTTTTCTATTTTAGAAGTTATACAAAACCAAACACATTGTATTTTTTTGCCTACTTGGATCTATTTTTTAGAAACTTACCACAGTGTGAGTTTTTAGAGAACAATTTAAAGCCATTTTCAAAAATTTTGAAAATGCGAAGATACCATATAATTAGAAAATACAGAGAACAAATTGGAACTTAAAAAAAAAAGGCTAACCTTGTCTCGTTTATAACACAAGCAGCCACAACGTCTTTTTTTCTCTCTCTCTCTTCAACATTTCTGCAACTACTCTCTAAATCTTTTCAAGTGTTGTTTATATCTCCCTGATTTTAGGTCTGTCAAAACCTTGATTCTTTCTGATATCTTGAAAATCATTCTTTACACAGAGACAATGTGGATCTGATTCTTCAAACCTTTTTTTTTTATTTTTTTATTTTTTTCAGGTGAAACATAGTAACACTCTTTGTTCACTTACATCACACACTATCCCCCTTCCTTCCTATTCATAAATTTTTAAAAATTTATAGATCTCTTTTTTATAATTATCTTTATATATTTAAAATTCTAAAAAATAATTTTTTAAGTGACGAATTAACTGAGCTCTACCATATCACCATGTCTCTATAGGAACCAAAGAAGGACCGTTCATAATTCAAACAATTCTGTATTTGATTGTTGTGTCACATCCACGTTAGCATCATATGGCACGTCCGTATATGTATTGTAAGACTTATAAAATAGCTCAAATTTTTTTTCTACGGTAATATATTAAATTGGAGAAGTAGCAATCACACAATCATATTCAAATCACCCTTCCTCCTCCAATGCCTATGGCATGTGCGATTTGTGCCATTGAATCATGAAAGCGATCCAAATGGGCAATTTCGACATTTTAATGTTTAACAGGAGAAGAGACATAAACGGGTCGGGTAGGATCCAAATACCGGGCGCCATTTTGATCCAAGAATGATTTAATATCAATCCAATATATAGGATAGGCACATTGTATATACGAAGAATGATATTGGATTGTTTCATGTTCTAGAGTTTGATCTCAGAGATCCAGAAGGCCATTTCTGTTAGAATCTCTCGAAGAAATCAGAAATGGCCACCGATGGCAATACGAAGACGAATCCTTCTCTCCTTCCTGAGATCGGACCTGATGGCCTCGCAAGAGAAGCCCCCGTCATCGCCTATACCGAGAAGGTCTCTCTCTTTCTCTCTCTAAACATATATACATATACAGGCATATATATGTTGAGTTTCGTATGGACTTTGTGTGTGTGTTGGTGAATGCATTGGAAGTGTTTGTGAATTTGTGTTCATTGTGACAGATAATAGCGGAAGAGCAGGTTCAATTAAGGAAGTAAGTCGAACTTACTTCTGATTTTCTACGGATTTGTTCCTGTTTATGTTTCCATCATTCAAAATTCTGTTAATTGTGCTCAAAGTTCTGGTATCAGATGTTTTTGTTCTTTGTTTCCTTGTCTACATTGATTTAGTGTTTGTCATGCAAGTGCTGTACAGATTTAATGATGTTGAAAAATGAACACAATTTCATACCTTAAATTGCTGAGAAGTTATAGGAGAAGATACGTAAACGAAATATCCAGATTCAGCATTTAAAAATTTTACTTAGATGATCCTACAGGCAATTAAAATGCAACAAGAGATGAATACAGTTGACCAGTTGATGGAGTACATAGAGTAAGGTCTTTTTTGTCACTACTAGAAGTCTTGTTAGAACATGAACTTGCTGATAACAACATTTTGATTAGATAGTGGTTTACAATCTGCATGAGGAGCTAAATTATCTTTCATGATCTCTGTGATTGGCGGTATCTTTTGAACCTATTATGTTTATGGTATTGGTTTTAAAAAAGAAACAAGAACAAAGAATTCATGTGGCAAAAAAATAGATTTCATGTAGCTAAAATGAGAATGTTGAGATGGATGGTAGAGGTGACTAGAGGATATAGGGTTACTAATTGAAGTATGAGGAAGAGCTAAGAGTGACGCCTATTGGTGATAACAGAAAAGAAAATAGACTCAAGTGGTATGGATATATACAATGAGACCTGTAGTGGCACGAGTAAGAAGAGGAAGACTAATCTCTATAGACGATAGAAGTCGAAGAGGGTGACCGATTTTAACAGCGGATGAAGTTATTAAAATTGATTTTAAAAAATCAAATATTATACTTGTAATAGAAAAGAATGCAAACAGAGAATTCGCATTGCCGACCTTGTTATGTCTGTTTTCAGGATGTAATTTGTACATATGTTGATAAAAAGGGGAAGTATTTACCAGTATGTTGAATATGGTGTCCGTAATTTATTTGTTTCTTCATCGTCTGATATTAATGTTTTTATTCTTCAAATGTTTTGCTTGATCTTCTTCTGATACTTTCTCAGATATATTGAAGAAAACTATTCTAAAATTCGTGATGTTGAACGAGAGCTAACAAATCTTTCAATGGAGATGAAACTCACAGCTGGGCCAAAGAAGGCAGGTTGGTACATTTCCATGTAAATTTTTCTCACTTTGAATTATGTGGATGTTTCCTTTATTGGAATGTCCAGTTGTTTGATTATTGTTGTTCATCTTATGTATTGCATATAACTTAAGCACTTGAACATATGAGAAAGAAAATAGAAATGTCGACCGAGAGAATTCGTGTTGCTAAGCTGAAGGAAGAACAAGCACATAAGGTTTGCTCCCTTTACTTACTAGACTTAGTTACAGTCCTTGTTGAGCATTTAAAATATTTTATTAATCATTGGACAACATGTTTCACAGTACATATATACTGCTCCTTGCTGCTCCTTGAAAAAGTATGTAGTTCTAATTCTTATCGACTGCTAGTAAACATAGAATTATGTACCTAGAGCATTTCTGAAATCTATCTCAAGTAATAAATGTGAACAGGAATTCGAGTTAGGTGCACCTACATACTATCTAAAGCTAAAAAAATAAAATAAAATAAATAGGGTCTGGTAATTGTAGTGATCGTAACCCAAGGCTCTGATACATTAAAGAGCGTGTGGTTAATTAGAACTAGAGGGGGTTGAACATGTCTTGTGAATATTAATTTGCATCTAACCTTTTGAATTATTGTTAATCCTTAAAAGGGGTGAAATCACAAAACCCCCTTATACTATCAAATTTCTATCCTATATATATGTATTTTTGATAAATAAGATTATATTAGAAAGCGTTCAAAAGGGGAACGTATCCCAGGCACTGTACAAGGTTGAAACCAAAGAAGTGGTTCTACGGACCCAAGGAACCTAAAAAGTCAACAATATCCTCTATAGATTTAAACTTTCTCCCCATAACCCCACTAAAAAGAGAACTAATGATAAAAAATTTAAAAGTCCCAGGCGGCATTCTTGTTTGTTTCTAGGTGGTTTCTGGGTTGAAGATCAATGTTGGAAAGAGTAAGCTTGTCCCTGTTGGGGATGTTCCGAATATTTCCTTCTTAGTTACAGTTCTTGGGTGCAGGGTAGGTGTTTTTCCTCTTCCTTATTTGGGACTACCTTTGGGGGTCTCCTCTAGGAGGGTGGGGAGCTGGGATCCGGTAATTAATAGGTTTGAGAAGAGGTTGGTAGGATGGAAGAAGCAAAATCTATCGAAGGGGGGGAAGGTCACTCTTATTAAGAACACTCTCTCGTCCCTTCCCACTTACTTTTTATCTTTGTTTCAAATCCCATGCTCTGTCGCCAAAAGGATTGAAAAGATTCGAAGGAACTTTCTCTGGGGTGGAAGGGGAGAGGAGTACAAGTATCATCTTGTTAAATGGGAACAAGTTTGCAAGCCCTTGAAGCTAGGTGGTCTAGGTATCTGAAAGTTGGTTCCCTTTAACAAAGCTCTTTTGGGAAAGTGATTGTAGAGATTCGTTAGGGAACGTCATCGCCAGAGGAGAAGGATTGTTTCGTGTCGTTTTGGGGAGGAGAGCAGTGGTTGGTCCTCCTGCCCAGTCTCTATTGCAGGAGGTGTTGGCATGTGAAAATTCATTCGGAGGGGTTGGGATGTCTTCTCTTCCCATATCAAATTCAAGGTTCGCGATGGTAGGCGACTAGGCGTGTCCGCTTTTGGGAGGATTTATGGTGCGTAGATCAGTTGTTGTCTTGCTCCTTTCCTAGACTTTATAGTATAGCCGACGATAGACACGCCTGCGTAGCTGATTGTTATCGGCTTAATAGCAATGGGATTACATGGGATGTGCGCTTTAGGTGTTATTTTTAGGACTGGGAGATGGATGAGGTATGTGAGTTTTTGGATATGTTGTATCAGTAGGAGGAAGTTGGCAGAGGTAGTGATGACATTTTGTGGGTTCCTTCCTCCCATGGAAGATTTGGTGTTCGGTCCATGTTCCTATGCCTTTCCAATTTCGTTGGTCCTGCTTTCCCATGGAAGACTATATGGCGCTCCAAGGCTCCACTTAGAGTAGCATTCTTTTTTTTGGATTGCCGTCTGGGTAAGATCTTGGCGTTGGACAACTTGAGGAAGAGAGGCAACACTCGTTAATTGGTGTTGTCTATGCAAACGAGATGGTAAGTCTGTGGATCATATTCTTATGCATTGTCTTGTAGCGTACGATTGTTAGAACCTCATCTTCGGCATATTTAGAATACATTGGGTAATGCCTCAGTCTTCCAAAGGACCAATTAACGCGTGGAGAGGATGCCTTGTGAGATGCTATGCTCGCGATTATTGGAGGATAGTTGATAGTTCCATACTGTGTTTGATGGTGCATATGGAAAGAGAGGAATAGCAGAATTTTCGAAGGAAAGGATTCGCCGTTGACGACCTTGAAACTTCATATTCTTCGCTCTAATTTTTGTTATATGAAAGGAAGCACTTGCTCCTCTACTGATGACGTAGTTGATCTTTTGGACTCTATAGGTCCTTAAGTTCAGCTTTCGTTTTTTGTATTAGGGACGCGTTCCCCTTTTTAATGCTTTTCTAATCGATAATTACTTATAAAAAAAATATAAAAATTCAAAGTCTTAATGGAAGATTCCTCCCTATTGAAAGATCTTCTATTCTGCTCCTTCCAATTGCACCACCGAACACAAAAAGAACCGCCCACCAAAATTCACGAGCATGGGCTCCCACAAAACAGTCTCTCCAAGCATCGAGGCATAACCCAGTGGACGCCAAACAAACCAAAAATAAGGCTCCAACAATCATAAGCTACAGGGCAATGCAATAGAAGATGGTCCACCAACTCCCCATCCCTTGTACACATACATCACCAATTAATAGTAGCCTGTCTTCTCTTTCTCAGATTATCCATTGTCAATTTATTGCCCCAAAGTTATAACATGTGATGATCGGTCTAATTAACTTAAAATTACCACTTTTCAGAAATATAACATGGGGTGGGGTTTAAACCACCTTAAAAGTAGTAATAACAATTGAGCAACTAAAGAAACAATCTATAAAAATATATAATTTTAGTTAGGCGCGCCTTAAGCCTAACATGCCTGTGTAATAGGCGCGCCTAAGGCAACTCGACTCACCCGGGCTGGTGCAAGGCGCAATTGATGCGCCTTGATGCGCTTCGCGCCTAAGGCGCCCCAGGCGCGCGCCTTTGACAACTATGCCCCAAACTGCCGTCCAAACAAAGAAGGCCACTCTGAAAGGAGACTTCAAATGTCAAATTGTCTTCCACTCTGCTATTTTTTCTCGTTCGCTCTCTTTTATCATCTCTTACTCTTCTGGGTTTCTCCATTCTTGTTTGCCCTCTGTTATGCGATCTTTCTTGGAAGTTGCCCGGTTACCCGGTTTGTTTATGTAAAATCATACTTACTGAGGCCCTTCAATATTTGTGGACGATGATTCCGTGGGGAGGAGAAAGGAGGAGCTTCGGTTATGCCCGGTGGGTAAATTTGATAAGGAAGTTGGAGATCGGGCACAGATTTCAGTTTGGGCCAAAGTTGTCAAAGGCGCGCGCCTGGGGCGCCTCAGGCGCGAAGTGCATCAATTGCGCCTTGTACCAGCCCGGGCGAGTCGAGTTGCCTACCTATTACATAGGCGCGTCAGGCTCAAGGCGCAATAAAGGTGTGCTTGACTGAAGTTATATATTTTTATAGATTGTTTCTTTAGTTGCTCAATTGTTATTACTGCTTTTAAGGTGATTTGGGCCCCACCACATGTTATATTGCTGAAAAGTGGTAATTTTAAGTTAACTGGACCCCACCACCACATGTTATATTGCTGAAAAGTGGTAATTTTAAGTTAACTGGACCCACCGCCACATGTTATATTGCTGAAGGGTGTAAAGAACGTAACCAAAAAACCCTCTCAGTCGGTCGACAATTTGGGGCTCTCTCTGGTGTGCGATCGCAGGTATGCTCTCTCTCCTCTCTTCTTCTTCTTCTTCTCAGCCAATCCACAAGTTAGGGTTTTTTTTTTTCCTCTCTTCTTCTCCCCCCTTCAGCACCTTCTCTCTGTTCTTTTTCTCTTCCCTTCAGCATCTTCTCTTTTCTCTCTCCTCTTCTTCATCCTCCTTCAGTTTGTCTCTCCTCTGTTTTTTTTTCTCTCCCCTTTGGTAACTTATCTGTTCTTCTTCTTCTACAACAACTTTTTCCCTAGTTCTCTGTTTCATCGTAGTTCTGCTCTTTTTTTTTTTTTTTTTTAACACTTCTCCTCCCCTTAGGCAGTTTCTCTCATCCAAGTTCAGCATCTCCCCCCCCCCCCCCCCCCCAAGCAGCATCTTCTTCTTCAGCAGCAGTTTCTCTCTTTTCTATTTTCTCTGTTCTTTTTTTTTTTTTTTTTTTTTCGGTAATTGCCATGTTATTGCTGAATTTGCTGTTGATTGCCACATTATTTTCTGTTAAGTTCCATGTTATTGTTGTTAATTTCCTTGTTATTGCTGTATTTGCTGTTGATTGCCACATTTTTACTGAATTTTCTGTTGATTGCCACATTATTTTCTGTTAATTTCCATGTTATTGCTGTTGATTGCCACATTATTGCTGTTAATTTCCATGTTATTGCTGTTGATTGCCACATTATTGCTGTTAATTTCCATGTTTGTGCGCTTCACTTCAGTCATGCGCGTGCCTCGCCTTGCGCCTCAGGCTCCAGGAGACCCTGGCGCCTTAGTGTGCCTTCAGCCTTTAACAACTATGGTTTGGACGTCTCGTGCCTGGAATGTTTCTGCTGAATGGGTGGTGTCGCCACTGCCAGATTCTTTGTTCCTCTTTCGTCTTCCCTCTCAGGCAGAGGCAGATAGGGTGCTCAAGGAGGGACGCCGCAGGAAGAATCGACAAAGCTTGCTCTTTGTTGCCCTCAAAAGAGACACCCAACAATTCACTTGTCACACCAATATTCTCCTTCAGTCACCCCTTGCCTAAATCAATGTGTCCCTGCCCTGTAGTATCCGTACCCTTCCCTTCTGGATGCACCACAGCCAATCAAACCCAAATTTGGATGACTCAGTCCCTCCCATAACATTATGTCAAGAGCCCCGCCCCTATGCTCCTTCAACACATTTCCTTCATCACATTCCAGCCCCTTCTCTGCCTCATCACAGGACAGTCAGTCAGTCAGCTGAGCTATCCCAACCACCGTCCTACCAATCATATTGGGTATCCCGGACCTTACTTGCCATATCATCAGTCAAAGGTCCGTGTTTTTCCAATTCTTGAACCTACAAAGCTGCAGACTCATCACTAAGTGTGATTCAGATGTTGCTTCC